TCCCTGGAGCGCCTCACACGCTCACCCTCAGCCCGAGCCTGTGCTTCCTGCCCCCAGCGGCCGCCCGAGGAATTTCACCTTCATCCCAGGGCCCCTCAGATATCAGAGACCAAAGTGCCGGCAGGGGGCGCTCTTCCGGCTTCAAGGTTAGAGGGTTTCTCAATGGAGGGGCTTCCACGCAAGGCCTGGAGAATGTGTGAGACCCCGTGGGCAGGCCCGGAGCAGTGCAGCACCCCAGCTAGACCCCAGCCAGACCAGCAGGGCGGTCTCATGCAGGAGCATTTGGGGGCCGTATTTAGAGTTGCTCAGGGCAAAGCGGGGGGTGATCTCAGAAGCCCTAGGCTGTGTGGTTCGGTAGATTGAAACCCTTTTCCTCTTCCCAAACCTCTTGGGATCCATTTCCAGTCCCCGCCCAGTCTACCCACTGCCCGTTTGTCTCTCAACGTGGGCCACACCACCTTTCAGTGTCTCCTCCTCTCCAGTTCCTTCTTTTCTCTGGGGCCTAACACACAATGTTCCTTCTGCCCCAAGTGCCTTTCCACTCTCACCTGGTCATCTTTCAAGTTCAACTTAAAAATCACACCTCGCCCCCATGCAAGGCCCCTGGGAAAGTCCAGACCTGGTCCACTTCCCTGCCTTGCGTGCCTGCGGCTCTCACCGCCCGTGTGATCGATCATAGAGCATTCTGTGTGCTGAGTTATTTTAATGTCTTTCTTCCTTTCCCTAGACCATAAACTAAGAAAGGAAGAACACAAAAGAAAATTTTGTGGATTGCCTGTTGGAATTTTCCGCCGGCCAAAATCCAGTGAGGGTGCACTCTCAGAAGAGGGAACAGCACAGGCAAGTCTCTGAGGTCAGGGAGGACAGAGTAAGTTCAGAACATGTTGGGGCCAAAGAGCAGAAGCGGGGGAACAAGGAGACTGGGGTGCGTGAGTGGGGAAGGGGTTGGGAGTCGGGGCTGGGCTGCTAGTTGGGCCACCAGGGAGGAGCAGCACTGGTGGGTATGGAATCCACCCCCAAGGAAAGTCCCTCCTGGACATCTTGAGTTGGGGAGCTGGGAGCTGGAAGAAGGGTTGGGGGAGCAAAGGTCAAAGGAAGGACATGGTACCCTAGGTTAGCCTCATGGGTTTGCCGGAATTCCTGAGGACTGGAATTCTGATTAATTGGATTATGAATAAGTGAGGTAATGCTGTTCGCACCCCATCCATATTCCTCAGGCTTTATGGCTTCAGTGTGTTCCAGGACATTCCAGCATGTTCCAGCAAGGACATGGGGCTTCCCCCTGAAGTACACAGGCAGGAAGTGAAGGGGAACTGACATCCTGAAAACAGGCTGATGGGGGTGGGCCTTTAAATCCACCTCTTCCTGGCCCCTCAGGAGTGAGCGACCTGAGAGGTGTTCTCTGCGTCCCTGAGCTCCTCCTCGGTGGGCTTCCAGTGGTGGCTGGTGTGAGGACACGCTGCTCAGTGGCTTCTGTCCTTCTGTGCCGCCATTCCCTTCACCCCCTAAATACACTGTGGTCACTCAAATCCCACAGGCTAAGGGGCTTCAACAACAGACATTTATTTTCTCACAGCTCTGCAGGCTAGAAGTCCAAGGTCAAGGTGCCAGAAAAGTTGGTTTCTGGGGAGCACTGTCTTCCTGGCTTGTGGATAGCTGCCTTTTTATTGTGTCTTCACATGACCTTTCCTCCGTGTGCCCGAAGAGGGTTCTGGTATCTCTTCTTCTTCTAACCTCATTTAACCTTAATTACCTCCTTAAAAGCTCTATTTCCAAAAAGAGTCAAGGTGGGGGTTAGAGCTTCAACATATAAAAAGTGGGGAGAATCGGGGGAGGGACATAATTCAGTCCATAACAGGGCTCCTTAAAAGAAATATGATCCCAGCCCAAGCCAGCCCCACTGCAGAGCACCCGGAGAAGCTGGGCACCCACTGTGAGCTGTGCTAAGCCAGCAGCAGGGCTGGTGCGGGGTCATCAATCACCAAGAAACCACAAGGTGGGGAAAGATGAGTCCTCAGATAGAGCCGAAGATGAATGGGAACACTGACATGTGATTAAATTGGGATCCTCTGCTGGTGGCTGATGGCCCACTCTGGGTGCAAAGTTAGCACAGCTGGGCCTGGGCTCCCAGCATCCACTGAGGCACCCACCCCTCCTCCTGCCCAGGTTAAAGGACTGTCCCTCCAACCACACAGCTCCCTGTCATCCCGGCCCTATTAATGAGAGAGCGAGACAGGCAATGGGACCAGTGCAGGTGCTGGGAACTGTGGAGGAGATAATATCATCAGTTACCATTCAGGCTGCCTGGTTCTTATTAATAATTAATAATAATAGTGAGGGCACTGGATGAGTACTCGATACTTCAAGGGCTTTGTCTCAGTTCACTCATCAGATGAGGGACGTCAGGGTTAAGTGAGGTGGTGAGGCAACAGTTTCTGGAAGAAGTAGAGGGACAAAGAGGGATTGATTGACTCACCCATCCATCCAATAGATTTTTATTAAGCATCTACTAAATACCGTTATGTCCACAAAGGTGAGCGAAAACCCACATGATCTCTGCCAATGGGCTACCTCCTATTCAGGTCAGGGATAGATGATTCAAAAATGAATTACATAAGCTAACTTCAGGTAGTGATAAATGCTAAGAAGGCTATTAACCCAGATGACGAGAAAAAGAGTAGCAGAGGAGCCAACATCATATGGGATGGTCTGAGGAGGCTTCCTGAAGGAAAGGAGACCTGCAGGTGGATGGAACTGGCCACAGGAGTGGCTGGACCAAGAGTGTTCTAGGCAGAGATCAGCAAGGGCAAACGCTTGAAGGCATGCATCAAAAGCAGGTTCGTGTTGATGGCTCTGCACAGCGAGGGGACCGCTGCATAGGTGAACGACATCAGAGACATGAGACAGGCTGCCTAGGCCAGGACAAGGAGTTGCAATACTGTTTGAAATGGTGAGGATCTGTCTGGGAGCTTTTCAGTAGCAGGGCTTTGCGTAGAATTGAATTTTTGTTTTCCAAGGACCACCGTGGCTGCTGTACAGAGGACCGATAGGAGGGTGAGAAGAGAGAACAGTTTTTGAACCTAATCGTGTTGAAGCCATTGAGATTCTGTACATAACCATCATCATCACCACCATCATCATCACCATCACCATCATCTTTATTACCATCATCACCATCACTATCCTCATTATCACCATCACCACCACCACCACCATTGTCATCACCACCACCATCACCACAATCACTACCACCATCATCATCACCATCACCATCATCTTTATTATCATCATCACCATCACTATCCTCATTATCACCATCACCACCACCACCACCATTGTCATCACCACCACCATCATCATAATCAACAGCATTGAGATGATCATGGCTTAGACAAGGATGGTAGACTGGGGTGTATTTTGGTGGGAGGTCCGATAGGGCTTATAGGTGGATTGTGGTGATTAGGGAGGAACAGGGGAACAGAAGCAGCCACTTTGGCTGAATTGCATGATATTTCCCCCACTAGGATAGTCTACCCAATCCTCCCATGTCCGTTCTTGACTGTCCTCTCTCACCAGCACCTACCAGATCCTGATCCTGCTTCAGGAAATCATGGTATGGCTGAAAGGGCACTTGATTTGGAATTGGGCATCCAAGCTTCTCACTTAGTGTGACTTTGAGCCCATGGTGTAAACTTGCTGAACTTCAGTTCCTTCATATGTAAAATAAGACCATAGTAACACCTACCTGGTGGGATCAAGGTGCTATTTTGGGCTCAACTTCTGCTTCGTCTAGTCTGGGCTCTTTGGATGGAGCTGCTGGGGAACTTAAGGCCACTCGAAGGCTCTTAATCTGCTGCAAGCAGGTGGGGATGTCTGATGAGGATCTTCTACATTGCTTCTCAGAATTCTCCAGTAGAATTAAGCTCTGGTTGTCCACAGTGGTAACCTGCTTGAGGATGCGTGCTTTTATGAGCTGCCTTGTGTTTCTTGGGATCACTATTTGCACTTGGATCATTGTCTGGAGGAACCCAGGTGGAGACACTGGATTATTGGGGAAGCTAAACTTGTAAAGCTCTCGGCATATGTTAAGTGGCTAATAAATTCATGTTGAATGAATGAATGAATGAGGCTTCACCTGCTCTAAGGAGACAGATTCAGAAGAGGCAGGAGGAAGGGAGGGACCTGCGGCCCGAGGAGATAAGAGGGAGGAGGAACCGCCCCTGCAGCCCCCTCCCCCTTCAGCAATTGCTTTGTGACTCCATCCCTCCCTCTCCTGAGTCCTGGGTCCTCTTCCTGGCTCTCAGGGCGGTTGCAAGTTCAAGGTGTAGCCAGAGCCCGATGAGAAGCACGGCGTTCTCATCACCAGGCTTGCAGGTTAACTCACTGAAAGGACAGCGCCCACGAGGAGCTGGACTGGGGAGGGAAAAAAAAAAAAGAACCCTGTGAATGAAGTAAAAGTGACATTTCACTTGTGCCTTTAATCTTCAAGCTGAATTTAAATATGATATCACAAAATGACCAGATTGTACCAAGCCACAGCTCGATCGTGAGTGCGGGGAAGGGAGGCCTCCGTCTCTCCAAGTCTCCCTGGGCTGTTCAGGTCACAGCCTCCCTGAGGCCCAACCCCTCCTCTTCCACAGAGGCTCAGAGAAGGCAAGGAGCTTGCCCAAGGCCACAGAGCCCTTCTGGCTTTGTCCCCAGCCACTTTTTTTCCCTGAAAAAAAAAAAAAACAAACTGCTTCTTGAAAGAGGTGCTTCAGTTTTTCTTCTCAGGATGGGAATCACGGACAAAATTCCATGGAGATCCAAGTCCCCAAATGCTGGTGACATATGGCCAGCACGGTATGGGAGCCACCATCCTGAGGGCTGGGGGGTGCATGGGAGAGGGGGCTCTGTGTGTGTGGTGTGTGGGGGCAGGGGGTGGGGAGGAGACAGCTCCAGCCCCAAGTCCTCTGTGGGATCTGAGAGGCGTTTCAGATGCTGCTGCTTTGGAGGAAGGTCTAGACCTTCCCCTCAAGCAGCTGTGCTCCCACACTGGGCACACAGGCAGGGCGGGTGGTGCATCTGGGCTGCTCCTTAGAGTCCCAAGGCTTGGGGGTCTCTAATGACCACTCGCCATGGGGGTTGGCGCCATACAGATCTAAGAGGTAGGCCATGTGGGTCCAGGCGATATTCACCTGCAGGAAGCAGAGATGAAGGAGGCTGAGGGTGCTTGTGGAAGGTGCTGCTGGTCTGCCCAGAGCCTCACCGGGCCAGTACACCACCCCTACCCCCACCCGTGTGAGCCTTGCCTGCTGTGGCTCACAGCTACCCCTCTCTCTGGGGAATTGACCTTTGCAGATTCAAATGCCTTGCAGAGGTAGTTACACTGCCTCCCCAGGGCATCCGATACAGAGGCAGCAAAGACCCGACTTCCAGGTCTTACAGGTGGTATAAGGAACCACCACGATGCAATTTGCACTCCAAGGCCGCCACGCGGCCAAGGCTGGACTTCTCTCTCCCTCCCCATTCTTCCCACCCTCCCTTGACTTTGTCTGAGGAGCCTTCCCTCAATGCATCACTCCTGCCAAAGCCCTGTCTTCGCCTCTGCCCCTCAGCCAGTGGCTCTCAAAGTGCAGTCCCTGCACCAGCAGCATCAACATTGCCTGGGAATGTGTCAGAAATGCAGATTCTCGGGGCCCAGCCACCGTGTCCTCAGAGCCACCCAGGTGACTCTGACACAGCCTGCGGTTTGAGACTCACTGCTCTAGAGAATGCAGCTGAGAACGGCTGGCTCCCACAAAGCCAGGCGACCTCAGAGCTGTGTTTGCAGAATTCCTTAAGGAACCCATGGCCATTGGTCCAGGATGGGCCACATCAGCTCCGGTGCCCCACAGGCATCAATTTCACTGGTGGTATTGACAACTGTCCCACTAAACAAAAAATTCTGCCCTCCCCAAGCCCGAGGCCAGCTCCGGGCAGAACTCCACAGCCCTGGACAGAATCGTGAGGCACGTGGCAGGCCCACCCTTGACCTTCCAGCAGGGTTTCACCTGGTTTCATGGGAGACACAGGCCTGAGGGGAAGGCTCACCCTGAAATGGAAGTGAGAAGGGCCAGCCAGAAGGGCCCAGTGAGCCCTCAAGGTCAAGAGCTCACAAGACCTGGGCTTGGACCCATCCCCACCTGGGACTTTCAGATATTCCCTCCACCTTCAGAGAGGAGGCTGTCGGCTGGCTTCACAGACCTCCTGCCGCAAGGCAGACCAAACCCTGACCTTTTCTTCCAGAGGAAGCAAGATCAGCTGCTTATAGACCCCAAGCCTGGAAGGGGCCGTCCTCACGGATTTGGGGTGCCCGGTGGGAGAGGACACCTAAGGACCCTCCTGAGAGAGGGGCATGTGAGTGGCTCAGTTGCTTGGGTGTCAGACTCTTGATATTGGCTCAGGTCATGATCTCGCGGTTGTGAGATCCAGCCCCGCGTCCAACTACACGCTGATGGCACGGATCCTGCTTGGGATTCTCTCTCTCTCTCTCTCTCTCTCTCTCTGTCCCTCCCCTGCTCATGCATGTGCACATGCATGCACATGTGCACGATCTCTCTCTAAATAAACATTAAGAAAAAAGGACCCTCGGGGCACCTGGGTGGCTTAGTCGGTTAAGCGTCTGACTTTCGCTTAGGTCATGACCTCGCAGTTCGTGGGTTCGAGCCCCGCGTCGGGCTCTGTGCTGACTGCCAGCTCAGAGCCTGGAGCCTGTTTCAGTCTGTGACTCCCTCTCTCTCTGACCCTCCCCTGCTCACGCTGTCTCTCTCTCTCTCTCTCCTAGAAATAAATAAAAATGTTTAAAAAAAAAAAAAAGAAAAGAAAAGAAAAGAAAAAAGGACCCTCTGAGAGGTGGAGCCCATGAAGGAACTCTGGGCCCAAAGGCAGGGAAGAGGCAGTTGGACAGCACTCAGGAGCCCAGTCATGGGTCCGTTGTCACAGGAGCATCAGGATGGAGACTGAGGGAGGTGGGACGGGGCGACACACAGGGATAGGAGTCTGCTGTGAGGGGCAAATTCTGAGTCAAGGTGGATTATGGAGATTGTATGATTACATATGATACTTAAAATCGTCATATAATTATATTATGATCATATTATAATGATGGATATTCTGAGTTCAGTTCCAGAGTCTGTTCCCAGTTTGCTGTGTGGCCCTGGGCTCATCCCTTTCCCTCTCCGGTCCATAGTTTTCCCATCCACACAGGAGGAAGTAGACTAGACACTCGCTAAGGACTGGGTATCCAAGAGTCTTTCATGCCAACTCCATCAGTGAGGCTCCTGAGAGCTCAAGCTGTTTCCTGCATCCTGGCACAATAGGTGCATATCAGTTCCACATTCAGCTTCCTCAGGACCTTTGCACATGCAGTTTTCTGTGCCTGGAAGTCTTACCTCCATCACCAAACGATACTAACAATACCAGGCTCATTGTTTTACATTTACATTGCTCCTTATATGTCTCCTAAGACCTAATACAGTTTGTAACTTGATATTTGCTTTGTGGCCTTTGACTCCTGTCTGTCTCCTCTCTAGGGCCGTGAGCTCAGGGTCCTTGTCCTTTTCATTTCTATTCTAGCATGTCATGTGGCACCTGAACTATAGTAGACATTCAGATATTAAATATCTGTTAAAGAATAAATGAATGGTGGCTATTACCATTATTATTTGGAGCCAAGAAGCTCTCTAAAAAGGTTGCAGAACGCAGTTCTGACCACCCCAGAAAGGGAAAAGCCAGTGGCATGAGCAACTCCCGTCAGTGGCCTTCAGCGCCTGAGGGGCTGACCCCTCCTTGAGTCTGCTCCCTGCAGGGGAAGGCTCCTGGCTCAAGGAAGTGGCCCCTTAGGGAGGAAGGAGGCTGTCTGCGCCCTCACTGCCTTCTTGACCCTGTGAACCAGGACCTAGGTGCTCTGTGATCCGCCTGAAGATACGGGCTTCTTTGGTGCTGGGGGTCAGGGCGCCTCCAGGGGATCTGTGATAGGCCAGGCCACCTGGAGCTGTGCTACTTTGGGAGCCTGCAGAGAAAAAAGAAGATCCATCCACAGAGGCACACACATGCTTGCCTTGAATTCAAATTTGTGAGCATAAACACACATAATGTGCACTTACCCAAACAGCCCCGCTGGAAATACAAGATGCGCATGTACACGTGGATGCCAGCGTTTTGCGCACAGAGCATATCACGTTCACGTACAGAGTGTCCCCCAAAGCGCGCATGCACAAACAGGCATGGAAACACACGTGTGCACATGCTTTCATACTCATGCAAGAGCAGTACATGCGAATGCATCGACAGACGCATGCATGCGGGTTTATACGGGTTTATATAAACGCACCGCATGCACAACGGGACACTGGTCAATTTCTCCATTCAGAAATTCGACAAGGAACCCTGCTCAGGACTCCTCCCAGGAGCACTCGCTATTCTCGGAAGGCCTTTCTTTTCGACCACTCCTCTCCTCACCGCAATCACCCCACAGCTCGCAAGGCAGCTCCCACTTTCCTAACCCTCAGCCAGGCACCCGAAAGGCTGCCTGAAAGTGGGGCAGGGGAGATGGCTTCTGGGAGTCCCCGCAGCGCCAGTGTCCTTCTGTTCAGCCGGGTGGCCTCCGGGGTTTCAGAGAGCGCTCTGCTCGCTCGTTCCGACAGGGCCGGAGCGCCCCCTGGTGGCCGAATCGGCGGCGCCGGTCCTGGCAGCCAGGTTGCGAGCGGTCCTAGTCCCTGTGCGCTGGGGGACACTCACCTTGTCCCTCTCTGCGTGTAACCTTCGCAGCCAGGTCTTGAGGTCCCCGTCGCAGAGCTGGGGGCGCCGCCACTGCTATTACTCAGTTTCCGCACCTGTGAGACCAAGAACGAGGCGACCTGGACAGAAAGAATCACGGCTTAGCCAGACACCAAGGCTGCTGGGGAACAGGCAGAGCGAGCGAGGGTCCCCGTGGCCCCTTCGCTGTCCCAGCACCGCACGCGGGACGTGGCAATACTTACTGATTGAACTTGGGGCTGAAGCAGTAGTTTGGTACAGTGCGCGTGTGTGTTTGTGTGTGCGTGTGTGTCAGGAAGCGTTTAGCCCCTAGACAGGGCCAGGGAGTAGGGGACTCAGAGCCAGAGCCCACCTTCGGGCTTGGTGGACAGTGGTCTCCCAGACAGAGGCAGCGTTCACCCATCTTTTCTGGCCACAGAGCCCTCTCTCCCCTCACCACCCCTTAGTGCCACATGGGGCTGATGTCGGGCAGTCCCTGCTCTGGTAAGCTCTCTTGCCTTTCAGGGGCCATCTGCTTTCTTCAGGGAAAAAGTCTCAGGAAAGACTTGGTCATCACTGCACCCAGCACCTGGCATGGTTGTGTGAATGAATGGAATAAATGAATGAATGAGCCTATTGGGAACCATCATGGTGGCTCTGGGCTGAGATGACAGAATGGAGGCAGCCCCAGGAACTCTTTTTTTCCTTTTCTTCTTTTTATTCCTTTTTAAAGTAGGCTCCTCACCCAACGTGGGGCCTGAACTCGCAAACCTGAGATCGAGAGTCGCATGCTCTACTCACCAAGCCCACCAGGCGCTCCAGTGACTTTTACATTCAGGGCACTTCTGTTGGGCTCCGGGAGGAGCAGGAGGGGCAGGTGAGGGGCCCGCAGGTGCTGCTTCAGGTCCCGGATGTCTGAGGGGAGAGGGAGGGTCTCAGTCCCTGGGGTCTCTGGTCTCCAGAGGCTCAGGGACTCTCCCTCTCTCAGGCTGGAGGCCCCTCCCCAGGGAAGGGGATGGCAGGACTGGTAAGTCCAGGGACAGCCAGGAAAGTCTTCATCATGAGGCCTGGGACTGTTTCCTGAGCTGGTGTCCGCCCCGAGAGCCCTGAGCAGTGCTGATGGCAAGGTTCTCTCTATACAGTGTGTGAAAAAAAAGTAACACATGTGAACACACACACACACACACACACACACACACACGTGGTCTGAGAGCTATAGTCCAGGGTCAGAAGTACGATGAGCCCACAATCACCCTGAGGAGGGGAGATAGTCAACGGCCCTAGAGAAAAGGTTTAGTGAAACCCTTTGCATTTTGAGAGCTGCAAAGGAAGAAGCATCCCTCCCAGGGGGTCAGGATGTTTTTTCCAGGGAGAAAAGGAGGTGGTCGTTACAGAGTTCAGAGGAAGAGTTCACGGAGCCAGACCAGACCCATCAGCCAAGGCCCATCAGCTGGGGGGACCGCGGCAGAGGGGCCACAGAGGCTCAGGGCTCAGGGCTCCGTCCCTCAGACCCTGTGTGGCTCGTTCATGCTTTCACTCACTCACTCATTCATCCATCCAGCCACTCGTTCACTCAATAAATATCATCAGTGCCTGTTAGGTCCCATCTCCAGTCCAGGGGCCTGGGACACGGTACTGATGGAAACAAACAGGTCTTAGATTTGCAGAGCTGATGTTTCAGGGGAGAAGACAGACAGGAGGGGAGCGGAGAAATGACTGAGTGTCTTCAGACACTGATTCACACTAAGAACAAAACAAAACAGTATTGTGATAAGCTGTGCCTGGGCAGGCCTCCATGAGGTGCTGACATTCAGCTGGCGTCGCAGTGCCAAGCAGCGGCCCGCCTACGAAGGGGGCAGGTTTCCAGATAGGGAGGGCAGAGAGCACAGGGGCCTGAAGGAGGAAGGAGAAGTAGGGGCGCCGGAGGGGATCCTGGGCCCCCTCCCAGAGAGGGAGTGATCTCACAGTGAATGAGTTTGAGCCCTGCATCGGGCTCTGTGCTGACAGCTCAGAGCCTGGAGCCTGTTTCAGATTCTGTGTCTCCCTCTCTCTCTCTGCCCCTCCCCCTCTCATACTCTGTCTCTCAAAAATAAATAAATATTTTTTAAAAATTTTAATCTTTTTTAAAAAGCCAGTGTAGAAATCTCTCTCCAGCCTTTGCTCCATCCCTGGAAGGAAAGAGGGGCAGCAAGTTGGTCCAAGGCTCCAGTAAAAGTTACTCTACCACTTCTCTGAGCCTCAGTTTTCTCATTTGCAAACTAATAGCACTAATCTCTGAAGGAGGATTCATTCTTTTTTTCTTATAACAAAATAATTCTTTTAATGAAGCAGTTGAAATAATTTTAAACATCTGATCAATAAGACTATACACAGTTATGGGAATATGCTGCACTTTACAGAAAAATAAAGCTAAGCCTTTAAATGTACAAAAACATCTTTAGGTATAGATATCTTCTGAAAGTTTCTCTTTTTAACACCTACCTCATTTGTAGCATTTTACTTTTTTTTTTTTTAAGATTTTATTTTATTTTATTTTTAAATGTTTTATTTATTTCTAGGAGAGGGAGAGAGACAGCGTGAGCAGGGGAGGGTCAGAGAGAGAGGAAGTAACAGACTCTGAAACAGGCTCCAGGCTCTGAGCTGGCAGTCAGCACAGAGCCCGACGCGGGGCTCGAACCCACGAACTGCGAGGTCATGACCTAAGCGAAAGTCGGACCCTTAACTGACTAAGCCACCCAGGCGCCCCTGTAGCATTTTACTTTGTAACTTGCTGAAACAACAAATGCGGCCAATGTGACACTTCGTACAGTGTAGAACATGACCATAGCAGTCTTTGTAGATTAAATGGTCTAACTGGCTAAAGCACATACATAGGGTTTCACTCAGTACATGTTGGCAGCTGACCCAGGCCCCACAGCCTCCACCCTGTGCCATTCTGTGCCACCTCCTCGCTTCCAACCCTCCTGAAAACCCCACCCACCCACCCACCCACCCAAACAGGACCAGACAGGACACTGACAAGCTGGGAACTGGATTCTCTCCTGAGTTAAGGGAGGAGATGCAGCCTGGATGACGTGGGGGAAGCCAGACCATTACCTTGACCCCGGACTGGGATCCAGGCACCCCAAGAATGCTTTTGCATCCAGTCCTCTCTCTCTTTTTTCCTTCAGCACAGAGCCCAACGCGGGGTTCGAACCCATGAACCGAACCATGAGATCATGACCTAAGCCGAAGCCAGGAGTCAGACGCTTAACCAACTGAGCCGCCCAGGTGCCCCAGCCCTCTCTTTTCCAAAACAGGACAGCAGCTATGAGAGAAGGAAGGCAACGTTTAAACCAGCACCTTGCAAAGTGCGATTCAAATGGGTGTGTTTGTCTCCCATGAAAATTGGGAAGGCGAGAGAGAGCTGGGAGAAGGATAATGGCCTTCTTGGCCACTTCCAGGAGCTAGCCGTTTCTCTGAGAGCTTTATATGCATTTTACTCATTTAGCCCTTAATAAAAAGAGGATACTGTTATTACAAACTCACTTCACAGATGCTGACAGGGAGACTCACAGAGGTTCAACCCCCAGTCTCTGAGCTAGCAAGTGTCTGAGGCAGAATTTGAAACCGGGCTCCCTATTCTAAGGTCCATGCTCTCACCTCCCAGGCTAGATATCTCCCAACAGTGGCCCCAGATGCAGCCCCTCTTGCACTAAACAAGCTTAAGCTGGGGACAACTTACGGCTTGAAGGACCAGTGGGATCTGGGTGCCGGGGAGGGCTTTACGGTCAGCCACCAGCAGGGAGTCGAGGGGCGCGCCGTGGCGTGTGTCTGTGGGACATCGAGAGCCGAAGGGGCATTTCACACCCGGGAATGACGATTGGGCTCCAACCTGCAAGACCTGGGCGGCCAGAGCCAGACTCCTTTCCCTGCATGAGGACTGAGCTCTCTGGAGAATGGCTGGGCTCCAACTTCACATCTCTCGAGCAGAACCCTTGGTGTCAGCAGTAATGAAAACATTAGCTGCATCACAGACCAAAAAACCTGAGCCGGAGAAAGAAGTTGAAGGAAAATGTGCTGCTGCCCCAGGGAGGGCTGGGTAAGGAATGTGTCAGTGGTCTGGGGTAGAGGGTCTAGCCCTGCAGGCAGGGGCCAAGTTCCCAAAACATATTCCCAGGTCTCTTACTCATCCTGTCATATAGTCTTCTGGGGCAAGCTCTTCCTTCCAAATACTCTGCCTTCCTTCTCTCTTCAACCGTCTTCTGCCCCTTTCTCTGCAAAACCCCTACCCCTGATCTTTCTTCTCCATCATCTTCTTGTCTTTAAAGAAACAAACAAAAAAAATTATAATGTGTAATGTTGACAATGATGCAGTGAAATGAACACTCTCATACACTCCTGAAGGGTAACATACACCAAGAACTTAATAGGCATATTCCAAATAACGTAAGACGCATTCAGAGTTTTATGTAGACTGATTGTGATTGTATTTTATAATAGGAGAAACAAGGAATAATAAATGTCCAGTAACAAGGAAATGTTTAAATAAATTAGAATATATCCCTAAGGAAGAAAATACTACCCTGAGTAAAAACCCTGTTTTCAAGGAATGTCCTCAATAGTGGTGATAAATGATAATATTGTTCCAAGTTCATTACTCCTCCTTGTAGCCACACCCTTTGCCATATGAATTTGGAATGCTTCCTGTTAAAGAAACAGAAAATACTTCCTCATTCCTTTGCTAGGCAGCCAAGTGATAGCTTTGACCAATGCATGATGCATGCAGAGGTTTAAAATGCATTGTGTGGTAGGGTTTGCTCTCTCGTGTTTCTGCCATCAATGCCATAAGGACAGGCCTCGGATGGCCTGCTGGGCCCAGAGGATGAGGGACATGAGAAGCAGACCCAGATCCAACCAACAGCTTGAGCCAAGGCCAGCCTGGATCACCTGGCCAACCCCCTGTTCACCCACAAACATGCAAAGGTAAATAATTGTTCTAAGTCATGAGTTGTGGTGTTGTTTGTGATGAGACATTAGTGTGGCAATAACTGAATGATGCAATGGGAAATGTCCATAATCCTATCATATTTAGTGATAAACACACACGTACACACACACAGGAAGATGATGCACTACAAATTAATAACATTTAAATCTGAATTATATTTTTCCTTTTGTACTTTGCTCTATTTTCCAAGTTTCCTGCAATGAGCAGAGATTGTTTTCATATGCAAAGATACATGTATATGTGTATAAATAACAGAAAGAAATACAGCAGCTAAGCATGTTTTAGCGGAAGATTTTCCACACAGCTCCCTGGATGAGAGTTTCTGAAGCGCTGGAACCACAGACCTGTGCCTTCTGCTTGCCTGCCTTACTCCTCTTCAGCGCCAAGCCGAGGGGGGTGCAGGGCGCAGTCGGTGGGTGGGGGCCAGAGTGGGATCTTCTGCATATCTTATAGGGACAAGTCTCCATCCTGGTCAAGCCAAGTCTGCCTTTGGGGATCCTAAACTCCTAGGGAGGGGAGCAAAGACAATGGCTCAAGCCACTGTCTTGAGTTGTGTTGAGGCTTTCCCATCCCCCACAGGAGATTATGAGGAGGCGGGAGCAGGGGCTCAGGATTCCATCCCAGGTTCAAGTTCAAACTCTACCACTGACTGACTAGATCCCAATCTGAGTCTCTAAATCCCCATCTCCAATCATAACATAGTGCCTGCCTCATAGGGTTTGTAAAACGGGCTTAGGGGTATAAAGTGCATAGGGTCCTACCACATAGCAAGGCCCCAGTTAAACAGAAGCTGTTTTTATTACTTATATCCCAACAAGAAAGCCTGAAGGGGAAGGAACACCCCACAGACCTCTTATCATTGCTTCCATTCTGGTCCTTTGTTGCTCTCCCTTGCTTCATCTGTCTTTACCCTTGGCAGTGCCACTCACGGCTACAACGCTCCTCTTGGTATTTTTCTGAATAATGATGGAATATTAATTGAAAAATAAATTGTGCTCGACTTCGCCATCTAGAGGTCACAGTGGGGCTCTGCAAGCAGCCCCAGGCCTTCCTGCGGCCAGAGGTGATGGATTTGTTTGGTACTGGCTGATGACTTGACCAGGCTATGCCCCAGTGCCCCATTTGTGGGCTCTAAGAAGGAAAAGGAAGTGTGCTGTGGTTGTAGGCAGTAATGTTATGGCTATCCTACAGCTTAGTGCTTGCATGGTAGGCTGTGGAGTCACACTTTCTGGGCTCAAAGTTGATGTTCCCTGTGAGTTTGGGTAGATCATTTTACCTTTCTGTGTGTCACTGGTCTCACTTGTAAAGTGACGCTAATGACAGTACCCATGTTACAGGATTTGGGGAAGATTAAATTATATAGAGCATATAAAACACAGTACCTAACCCACCGTGAGTGGTTAATAATTGTAACAATTATTAGCTTTTATTTATTCAAGGAACTACTGCCAGCATAGCAGAATGAAGTGAAATCATGCATGTGAAGTACTCAGTGTAAAGCCTAGTCCATCATAAAAGTCAATCTGTAGTATCTTTAGATTATTGAACATCATCATTCATAGTTTAATGGGGGCAATCAAATGATCAAGACTAGAAGATAAGATAATGTTGAGCATTAATTACCTCTGATGCTTTAGAAATGGAAAGTCATTATTTAAAAATTTTGCCTAATGCACTGTGCTTACGTAAGATATTTTCCCTGGAAGAAACTAGGTAAAGGGTACATGGGAACTCTGTACTAATTTTGCAACTTGTCTTGAGCCTACAATGATCTCAAAATGGAAAGGAAACCTTCTCTTTGGCCGAATGAAAGTGCTTTCACATTGGAGTAGGGATTCCTGGAGGAGGGGACATGGGTCCTAAGCAGTGGAGACTAACGGGCCACTGGGAAGGCTGCGGGTCAGGCTGCTGGGGCTCCAGTCCGGGCCTCGGGACCCACCAGCGCTGTGACCCCTCTCTGGGCTTCACAGCCCCTTTCTTACCAGTGAGGTTGGGGTGCGGTGACAGCACCCACCTCCCAGGCTGAGGTAAGGAAACAGCCAGTGGTTGGGAAGCTGCTGGTACAAGACCCAGGCCCCCTACCTGGGGTTATCCACCCACATCAAGTTATGGTCCTTGAAGAACCTTTTCCTTTTAGTAACAGCAGGACCTGGGAAACCTGCACATGATGAGAGGGGTCAGAATAGTGTCTGCCCTGGGGGATGGGGACTGACTGGGGAAAGCATAGGGGAGCCCTCAGGGCTAGATCTGGCTCTGGGGAGTCACATAGGTGCACACATCAAGCTGCACATGGAAAATATGGGTGCACCTCACCATGTACCTATTTCAATCTTAAAAACCTAAATATAAGTGATTACATTCTCACATGGAAGGAAATGGGCTGGGACAGTGGGGCCTTTTGGAAAAAAAAAAAATTAAGAAGAAAGCAGAAGTTGGGTCTCTTTCTTTCACACCAGTCACCAAAATTCATTAAAAAACGAACGAGAAAAACACCTGCAGGTGGATAGTTATCAGTTTGCCGGATGAAGGAGGACTTTCTAAGCATAAAAACAAAGAACATAAAGGGACATGAAGTGAAGAAGAGCGCAAATGCCCGTACCCCGCTGCTCCCCAGTCCCTGATGCGGGCAGTTACTGGGGAGGTAGCCGAGGCTCGAATTAAATGAAGGGATGGTCCAACAGCTGAGCGCCGGGTGCCTGGCAGCATGGAAGGGGTGAGGAGGGTGAGGAGGGCGAGAAGGGATGTGCCGGTGCTCGAGGATAAGGTCAGGCCACCAGCCCTCTGGGCAGGGAACGTTTGTGCCAGGCGCAGGTGCCTCCCAGAGACGGGGGGACTTGGCAGGAGCTGTTCTGAGCAGGCAGCGTCCATGTGGAGGGCCTCCTCCCTCCCCTCCTCCCTGCCTGCCGCCCCTCAGATTCTGCGGCTGGAAACAGAAGAGAGAGGCAGTCAGGACCGGCCACCTCCCCATCCATTCCAAGCCCAGAGCTCTACGAAGTGTTTTCCCAGGCCCGTGCCCTTGCACATGAGCTCACTAAGCTCTGCCGCAATTGCCTAAGATTAGGGGCTGAGATCGCGACTCCAGGCAGCAAGTTCTTAGGCGGAGATTCAAGCCTTTACCTGAGCAACCTGCAGGGAGCACGAGCTGCCCAGAGGAATGAACCTTCTCCACAGAGCAGCCCTGGGTGCAGCGGGAGAATGCCCCTGCCTGGAAAACAACAGCCACTTACCCGGAGGACACTTAGAAGCTGAACTGAACTGGGTCCATTTCATAGCCGAGTCCCCATTCTCTGAAGTCACTTCCCCTGCTAATTGCAGATGGCTCCCAGTTAGTCATGCAGGCAGCAGACGATACCTGGCCCTGGGACTCGGGAGCCATTCCCAACCCCTCATAGACGGAGCAGCTGAGGCCCAGAGATCTTGCCCAAGGTCTCAGAGCTGCTAAAGACATGGAAAATGGGAACGTAGTGGCCTGTAGGTGTGCAGACAAGCATTTCCACTACACACACATGCACACGCACGCCAACACAGCCCTGCAGCAGAATCACTATAGCACTTAGGACATGGTGGCCTCACAGAGGCCCTGGGCAGATATGTCCCGTAGAGACTCATGCCACTCTTCCTCACCGTTGAATCGAAGACCCCCAAAGATGCCCCTGACACCTCTGACCGGTGCTTTGTACCGTCTTTGGGTTGAGCGGGCATAGCCATCTGGCTGGCACACAACAGCCACCTGGGTCTGCGTCAGGGTGGACAGGAGCCCCTGGTGAGCAGTGTCCAAGTCCTGGCCTCCAAGGAGGCCTGACGGGCCCGTGTGTCACAGCCACTGTGATCTGGCTTCTCATTCGGCCAACAGTGGAGAACACCCACGTGAACACAACCAGCTTCCCGCTCAGCCACAAGGACTAACCAAAGGCTTATATAAAAACACTTACCCACGTGGACACACGGGGCATCCACGTAACTGACCATGAGACCCCCTGACACCGACCACACTTTTCAATGGGGACATCTAATAAGACACCTGAGAACACGGGGGGCACCGATGGTATTAACCACTATCTAGATTTAAACCTGCACCACTCCAACCCCTGGGGAACACAGCAGGCTGAGGAAGCCCCTGGTATGCTCTGGTCGGAGACCACGCAGAATCACGTGGGCCCAGACGTGTAGAGCGTGGGCAAGCCATCAGTGTCCCCTTGGAAAGTCCCTCTCTATTCAAGACCTTATTTACGATGGAATAGACCCCCTCCACCGCGCTTCGCCATGGCCCAACAGCAAAACCGTCCATCCGAATCGTGGGGACATGTTGAGACCAGCGTCCTGTGTCCGGCCTCCAGAGATTCCACCCAGGAGTTCAGGCCCAGGCCACTCTAATGCAATAGGGTCTTCAGATCACACTTGGGAAGCAGGGAAACACTGGCCTGGCATGTTCCTTCCTCATTATGGGGCACAGACAAGAGCTCAGGGAGGAAGTTGCACCCGCGTAGGGGCAGACTAGGGGTGTGTGTGTGGTTGTGCCCAGAGTTGACCAAGATAGTCAACCACGTGCTGTGTGGTTCAAAAAACCAAAACTTGCTTTTCATGGCTGCCTGGATTGTACAAATCAGCCAGACACACACACCCCCACCCAGCCCATCGTCTTGTTCCAACATTTCTCCTGTACTCAGGAGCCAAGCGGATGCTTCCAAGGGCCGCCACGCTGTGTGGGCCCTCCCCTGACACGTGCTGGCTGGTGGAGGCGCCGAGTCCACTGCAATGCCCAGACTTTTCTTCCCCCTGGCGAACCCTGGGTCATTTGTGCGGGATCTTTTCTATGAACCAGGGTTTCCTGAAATTGATGCATTTACCTACCACCTTTATAATTTTTGTCTGTATCCAATTAGTCTTATACAATTGCTTACTTCAGAGTTTTCCTTAATCATGGGTCACATTTTCACTTAAATCTATTCTTTTTTCTTTTAATGTTTATTTATTTTTGAAAGAGATAGAGAAAGTGCGAGCAGAGGAGGGGCAGAAACAGAGACACAGAATCTGAAGCAGGCTCCCGGCTCCTAGCTGTCAGCACAGAGCCCGACATGGGGCTTGAACCCACAAACTGCAAGATCATGACCTGAGCCGAAGCTGGGCACTCGGCTGACTGAGCCACCCAGGCACCCTTCACTTAAATCTATTTTTTAAAAAAGTGAGGGGCGCCCAGATGGCTCTGTTGGTTAGACGTCTGACTTTGGCTCAGGTCCTGATCTCGCGGTTTGTGAGTTCGAGCCCCGCTTCGGGCTCTGTGCTGACAGCTCAGAGCCTGGAGCCTGCTTCAGATTCTGTGTCTTCCCTTCTCTCAGCCCCTCCCTCACTTATTCTCTGTCTCTCTCTGTCTCTCAATTAAAAAAAAAAAAAAAAGGTTAATATCCTTTAAAAAAAAAAAAAAAGGTGCCTGGGTGGCTTAGTTGGTTAAGTGTCTGACTCTTGATCTCACCTTGGGTCTTGATCTCAGGGTCCTGAGTTCAAGCCCTGCACTGGGGCTCTGCTGTGGGTGTGGAACCTATTTTTAAAAAACCAAAACCAACAACAAAACAACAATAACAAAAACGTCAATATCCCAACCATTAAATGGAGCACCCACTACCACCACCTGCCGTAAAAGAAGTTAATGAGAAACAATGACTATATTAACGTTCTTGGTCCCATGCAGCCCAGAGGCTCCTGCTGCCCTGCGGGTCTAAAATAGCTTCTTTTTGGGGTGCCTGGGTGGCTTAGTTGGTTAAGCGTCCCACTTTCGCTTAGGTCACGATCTCGCGGTTCGTGGGTTCGAGCCCCGCGTCAGGCTCTGTGCTGACTGCCAGCTCAGAGCCTGGAGCCTGTTTCAGTCTGTGACTCCCTCTCTCTCTGACCCTCCCCTGCTCACGCTGTCTGTCTCTCTCTCTCCTAGAAATAAATAAAAAACATTAAAAAAAAATAGCTTCTTTTTATTTAGTTGTTGCCACAGATTTCTCCTTTATCCTCCCTAGCCCCCAGCTCTCTGTTTGTTTTGAAATGAGATTGCTGGCCAAGTCACGGTGGCAGGCTGGTTCCCTGCCATGGGGGCCTGTCCCATTTCTTCCACGCCCATGTGTGTGCTCTGCACTTGAGGTGCCACGGCAGACCATCAGGCCCTTGGGGGATCAGTGTGGCCTGTACAACCACATGTTTTGGAAACCATAGGGTGAAATATGTGCCAAACCAAGGAAGTTTCCATGTGGATGTTCTTTCTTTTTCTGTAATTTTTTTAATGTTTATTATTTTTGAGAGAGAGACACACACAGAATGTGAGTGGGGGGTGGGCAGAGAGAGGGGGATACAGAATCTGAAGCAGGCTCAAGGCTGTCAGCCCTGAGCCTGATGCGGGGCTCGAGCTCATGAGCTCTGAGATCATGACCTGAGCTGAGGTTGGACGTTCAACTGACTGAGCCACCCAAGCATCCTCATGCAGATGTTCTTTCACTTCCCTCATTCACTGAACAAGTAAGCATGGAGTATGAGAATGTGCTTGGCACTGAGGATACAGCCATGAAAATGAAGGACAATGTCTCTGGCTTTGTGGAGCTTACGCTGTAGGTATAATTGCCTTGCTGAGCTCTGTCAACCCCCAGAGCAATTAGACATCATCGTCATCACCGTCATCACCATCATCATCATCACCATCATCACTATCACCATCATCATCATCATATCATCATCACCATCACCACCATCATCACCATCACCATCATCATCACCATCACCATCATCGTCACCATCACCACATCACCACCATTATCACCATCATAGTCATCATGACAGTGACTGCTGCTTTACTAAGTTTGGGGTGCTTATGCAGTAAGAGATGACAGGGACCCACAGTGTCTGTCACTCTGAGGGAGATGGGGAGACATCTAAATTTTGAGCAGAGCACTTGCAATTCCATTTGATGTCAGCTCCACAAAGGGACAGACTTTGCTTTGTGTTCATTGCTGTATCCCCAGTGCCTAAAGCAGTACCTGGCATGTAATAGGCATTTGTCAATATTTGCTAAATGACTTAATCTAAGGAGGGTATAATCTAATCGACATTATAAAAAGACCATTTTGACTGTTGCATGGAAAAGATGGAGACCAGACATCCTGGATCAAGGGCGGGGCAGGAAAACCAGGGAAGAGGCTACTGCACCAGTTCAGATGCAAGGGACAGCCCCGCCCTGTTCTGGTTCCCGGCTGGCCCCTGCCTCGTCTCCCCCTGTGGGCGGTCCCCCCCCACCCCCGCCCCCGGCACCCAGCAGGTTCGTCACCCTGTGGGAGCCGGTCTTCACCCCTGCTGCCCATCCTTCCATTGGATCTACTCTACCTCCACCCAAAGCCATCCATGGATGAGCTCTCCAAAAAACAAACAACAGAAGCCAGAAAAGAAAAGAAGCATTGTGTGCATTCATCCAGCCACAGGACCTGATTCAAGGAAGGTAACCTGCGGGCCTCTTGCTGGGAGTTCTGGGATAGAGACAACAGGCTCTAGAGGTGGATGCAAAGCGAGTGGCCTCAAGGAATTGGCAGCACACAGTGGGGACCCAAGCTCAGAACAAAGTGGATCCACCCTCAGCAATAAATAGAAAATTTAAAAACTGGGTCCTGGGTGTTTTCACGGAGCAGTTTGAGTCACAAGAGGGTCACTTAGGCAGCATATTTTACTTAAAAGATCCTCGCTGGGGAGGTAGCATGGTCTTTAACCCGTCCCCTGTGACAGAGGCTTGGGCTCTTTCCATCGTCAGTATCACAAGTAACATGACGATATGCACCCTATTTATGATCGTGTTGCCTTGAGCAGAGGTAACAGTAGAACAGATGCTAGAAGTGGATTTGCAGAATCCAAAGGTTTGTGAAATTGTGACACTTCTTGTCAGATTGCCTTCTGAAAGGGATTGTTCTACTGCATTTGTTTGTTTGTTGTCGTTACAGCCCAGGAAAGGGTGCTGATTTTGTTCCTGCTGCCTCTGTTGGGCTCCCTCTTGTGAGGTCGGCTGCCCTGGAGCCTCTGAGGCGGTGACTCGCCCACAACTTGAGATCCCACCCATCAATGTCCCCCCAACTTGGCCTCACCGATGCTTAGAAGGGCCTCCTGCTTGGTTTAATCCTCATCATGATATTCTTAATAACGTTTCAACAAGGGCCACTATGTTCATTTGGCACATGGCCTGTCCTCACCCACAAGGCCCTGGCTTGTGCCTTTCTCCCGAGTGTCCTGCCCACACACTGAGCTCCACTCCAAGTGATTAACACCAGCATCCCCAAATATACTCAAATGTGGTAAAGCAGAGAAATCTCAGGTCTGCCAGGGCCCAGAGGAAGAGGCAGGGCACCAGCTCTCCCCAGGTAACGGCCCAGCCATTTTCGCCGAGCGGAAGCTTAACTGGAGACTGATTCCCAGTTAATTATAAAATTGGCCGTTCTGCTCTATTTATGCTTTTTGTGAAAGCTGCTAGTCAGCGCCCCTCCTGCGAATCTGTTTGGTCCCCCATGCTGGCACACAGTTTGGTTTCTGTAGTTGTTTTGCGATTCGCTTGAAAATTCCCAGCATCTGTGTGTTTTCGTGACAATCTGAAAGCTGCAGTGGCTAAATGCAAACAGAAGTCAACTGTGTCCCCTTCTTGACAGCCAAGCAGCAAGAGACGGGCAATCGTTCCTTTGGGCGAACTTTCTAAGGAGGTCAGATGGGGCACAGGAAAGAAGAGATATGAAATAAAACCCCAACATTCGAAAGGTGTCCCTGTTGCAAGATGATGGCGTGTGGTATGGCATCAAGTCTCCGGTTCAGCAGAACAATGGGTGCTCAGCGCATCCACAAAATTTGTTCTGAGCTTCACAAATACAATTGTTTTGGTTTTGTTTTCAACGCTTCATTGATGTATAGTGTATGCAGAAAAGTATACAGATCCTAAGCGCACAGCACGATTAATTGTCTCTATCTGT